ATCATCATCAGCATCATCATCAACATCATGATCATCATTATCAGCATCATTATTATCATCATCTACATCGTCGTCGTCCACATCCTCACCCTCATCATCATCGGTAATGATCATCATCAATCTCAGTATCATAATCCTAAGCATCACGATCATCACTGTTATCACGATCACCACAATCATACTCATCATCATCATCATCATCATCATCATCATCATCATCATCATCATCATCGTCGCTATCATCATCAGCATCATCATCAGCATAAGCAACATCATCGGCATCAGCATCATCATCATCAGCATCATCAGCATAAGCATCATCATCAGCATCAGCATCATTATCATCATCAGCATCATCAGCATAAGCATCATCATCGGCATCATCATCATCACAACCACCACCACCATTAGAATCCTCATCCGCAAACCTCATCCTCGTAATCATCAGTCTCGGCATCATCAGAAACAGCAGCCGCCGAATCACCGCCATCATCATCAACAGCGCACCATGATCCTCACCATCATCATCAGCAGCATCCTCATCACCATGAACATCATCATCAGCAGCAGCATGATCATCGTCAGCAGCAGCCACAGCATCGTCATTATCAACATCACCACCACCACCATCACCATCAGTATCATCAGCAGCAGCATCATCGGCATCAACGTCAGCATCAGCATCATCATCAGCAGCATCGTCACCATCATCATCACCACCACCACCACCACCGTCGCCATCACCATCATCAACATCATCATCGTCATCATCATCACCATCATCATCATCACCATCATCATCACCACGGCTCTCCCAATCACGGAGGCACGAGGTGTCACACATGACGACCTCCTGCACCCCCACCGAACAGCCGGGCCGTCTTTGGACCCTCTTAGGGGCCCTTTGGGGGCCCGTTCGGGCCATCTTGGGCGCCTCTTGGGCCGTCTTTGGAACCTCTTGGGCCGTCTTGGGGCCGTCTTGGGGCCCTCTTGGGAGTCTCTTGGGCCGTCGCAGGGCGGTCCAGGAGGGCACTCGAGGCCGGCTTTGTTGCTGTGAAGGTCCCAGAAGCAAACATGTCAAAAACGAAGGACTCCCTGAAGGAATTGGACGACGTGTGCCCCTCGGGCCTCTCTCGGGTGTCGTCTCGGAGCGCCACTAGGGCGTCCTCGAGGCTCCTGGCGCCGCTCGCGGCGCCCTGCTGGGCGTCCAGGACTCCTGGAGGCCGTCGTGGGGGGCGACACGGGACCGTCTTGAGCCCTATCGACGACGGCCGGAGCGCTCTCGACGACGGCCGGAGCGCTGTCGAAGAAGGGGTTCATCACTGTTCCCTATGGAAAAACAGCCCCTCCACCACCTGGCCGGCACCCTGGAACCATGCGCACACCATGAGGGCGAGGGCCCCCCCCAAACCATCCCTGTCAAAAAACAATACAAAATGCACATTGCGGGGACCACCCTGCCAACACCCTCCACAATCCCTGTCAACAAACAATACGAAGTGCACATTGCAGAAAAAATCTGGACAGTGCGCTGGCGCCCTGTGAGCACGTTGTATTGTTTGTTTGACAGAGGTAGCGGGATACCCATAGTGAAGCCGCTTTGTGCAGGAACACCATCCGTGTCAAAAACAATGCGAAGTGCACGTTGGCACAACGTCGCGGGTATTGTGCTGGCCACCCGCGATCACTTTGCATTGTTTTTGACAGGGACGGCGGTGGTGCCCGCATGATGATGCTTGCTGCGCGCAGGCCCAGAACAATGCTGACGCCCCCCACATCAGCATCTGGACCATTGCGGACGGGGCGGCATCACGTGTTTTACAAGGATGGCACACCAACCGCAAGTGGAGACCGCGGCGAGCGTCCGCTTTGGTTCCCAGTGGCTGTCCATCCAGTGGCGACCACTGGCTATGCCGAGACACGGATGCCACTTTGTGGTGGGAGGGCGGGTGGGAGTGAGCTAGACAGTTTGCGTGCGGCGAGGGTGTCTTGACCCCTCCCCCTACCCCCTGCCCCCCAACCCCTGGGTCGGGACGAGTGGGATCGCGAGGTGTCAGAGGACTGTTGTTGGCCCCAGGGAGGAAGTCACATGTTGGCCTCCTGGGGGGAACATACTTGGGAAGCTCCCCTTTTTGCTGATCGATCTTCACCTAGATGGCCTCAAGATGGCCCCCGAGGCTCCCGGGGGTGCCCCAACGCAGCCCCAAGAGGGCCCCAAGAGGCCCCAAGAGGCTCCAAAGAGGCCCCCAAGAGGCCCCCAAGAGACACCCAAGAGGCCGCAAGAGGCGCTCCAGAGGCTTCCAAAACGCCCCAAGAGGCCTCGGCGAGAATGCCGAAATCATCGATTTTGCTTGGTCACATGTTGGCTTTCTGGGGTGGGGGGCGTAATTTAAGGAGCCCCACTCCTTTGACCGATCTCCTCCAAGTTGGCCTCAAGGTGACCCCCGAGGCTCCCAAGGGTGCCAGGTGCCCAGGAGGCCCCAAGAGGCCCCCAAGATGC